GAGAAGGGCGAGGGCTGCCCCTGCCCCGCCGTGGGGGGAGAAGGGGGACCCCCGCCCCGCTCCGCCCCGCCCCGCCGGCTGCAGCGACCCCAGCGCTGGTCGTGGAGCCTGTGGCAGGGGCCGGCGCTCCTCCCAGCGCATCCCTCGGGGCCAGAGGTAGCCAGGGGGTCGGGAGTCCCAGCCCCAGGAAAGCCCTGAGCTGTGGTCCAGCCACTGGGAGGGGCTGGCGACTGCCCCCGGACACGGGGATGTGAAGGACAAGGCACCCCTGTGCCCTAGCTCTGGGTGGTCCTGCCCTGCAGCTGGTGCTGGGTGCCCTCAGGCCCCTCAGGGCTGAGGGCATCCTGCCAGCTAGAGCAGGAGGTGCTGGCCCAAGTGCTGAGCCTCACAGTCCCTGCCCAAGCCTAGGGGGAAACGACCTTTGCAATGACACCCGGGTGGCGGCTCGAGGCTGAGCTCCCTGCAGGAGGAGGAGGAGGAGGAGGATGCCAACTGTTCAGCCCTAATCCCTAAATTATTTTAGAAGATTCGCAGGAATCGCTTCACCAGCTCCTGGAAGGCAGCAGCTGTCAGGCGGTCCGCCCTAGCACTGCGCAAGTTTAGGACAGGAAGTGAAGGAAAGCCCTGTGTTCATCCGTAGCGGTGTGTGGGGTTTGGGGTGGTAGAAAGGGACTGGCCAAGGTGGCCTGTGGCCAGGACAGTGAGGCCGACAGCCCACAGGGTGATGATTGTCAGAAGGGCCCCATGATCTTTCATGACCCCAGGTGATAAGAGCTTGGTTTAGTCATTGGAAAGGTGCTTCTGGCAGCATCATTTGGGCCAGTCCAGACCCAGACAAACGACCAGCCCCTGCCTGCAGCACTTCCTGGAGCAAGTGCCTGTCTTTTCTTCACATCCTGCTTTTAAATATTGGCCCAGTCTGACTGTGTAGGTTGAGATCCCATCTTCACGTGGAATGGCCCCTTGCTGGTAACACACACATTTGGATAAAGCTTGCTCCATTCTCTGTTCACTATTCTTCATGGGCTGTTGCTTCATCGCTCATTACAGTATTTTCCCTGAGTGATCTTGCCCTAGAACTTCATGCTCTTAAGAGCCAGAATATACTCAAGCAAGCAGTGAGGGAACAAAGTATTTTTCAGGAGTACAAATGCTCCAGGAGGACAGGCAGTGTCTAAAAAACACCTGGGTTGAGGAATGTTGGCACCCTGAGTGAGGCGGGTTAGGTGGAGGTTAGGTAGGAGGGACGTATTTGCTTTTGCTCCTTTAAGCTTCGGTCCTGTGTCTAAGGGCCTTTGCTGCACACCCATGCACTGCAAAGTGATGTTCTGTGTGGCATTTACTGCCTGCTGGAGATGCAGGGACTTGCCCTGCTCCCTGCTCCCTTGAATCTAATAGAGACAGAAGGAGCTTCTGAATTTAGCTACCAATTTTAGGTTTGCTAGCTCCAGCTCACTGCCTAGTCAGAGTACACCAAGTCACCAGCTGCACAGCTGAGAGCACTGATCCTGGAGGCAGTGAGGAAAGCAGGGGAGTCTCTTCACTGCAGCCTGGGCACCATAGAAGTCAGTAGACTACAGCTGAGATGCACTGGTGGAGTCATGTAGGAGGTTTCAGTATTTAACAAAGATGGGAAAGGGGGAAGCAGATATTAGGCTGAAATACACAGACAGATCAGAGTGGGGGTTCACACTCTCCTAACCCATAATGGAGCCAGGAGGTGGTCTGAACTCTAGCATTATTGCCAGTCCTCATATTCAGCTTTATACTTCTGTCATATGTGTTTAAAAGGACTGTTCAACTATAAATGTCTCTGGTACAGAAAGGATCCTGAGCAAGAGCATATCCAAAAGAGGCACCGAGAATGTCACAAGTAGACAGCCCTTATACAAATTTAAGCAATCATAGAACTAGAAACATAGGGACAATGGAGAAATGGGGAGGTGTGAAGCAAACCTAGCAGAGCTGTGGTGCAGTGAGCTTAGGGTATTTCTGATCATGTTTTTTATGTACCTTTAGGTGTTTCTCTCGGTGGGGCCACACTGACCATGCTCAGGAGCTGCTGTCTTCAGCTCATGTCCTTGGTTTGGATTCTCTTGGCCCATCACCAGCTTGCCCAAGGTGAGATTTGGCAGAAATGTGTCATTCTCCAGTTTTCATCTTCCAAACCTACATGGGTGATGGTGAGGTGTCCTAAAATCACCACTGTCCAGTAAAAGAAAAGTTATCATGGCTTGAAAGAATACAGGACCTGCTTCTCAGGCATTTTGTGAGGTTGCAATCAGAAAGGGTCCTTTGCCCCAGTTTTCATGAGGTTCCTGTCAGCACAGGGCTGGACAGGCAGTAAGAAAGGAGATTTTTTCGGGCTGCAGGCTCACTGGCTCTGTGCCAGAAGGCTTAGGTTATGCTAATAAATGTGACATTCCCAAGAGGCAGGAAAGGACAGGAAGAGTCCAAAAGGCCAGCTTGGACCCTGGGAATGGAGATCCCTTCCCAATATGACTAAATGGTAGAGTCACAAAACATCTACCACAGCAGAATTGCTTGTAGACATGGAAGAAAGCAGTACTCAATCATGGGCTGACCTGATCCACAAAGCTTCTCTATATTATCCGTGGCACGTTTTGGGGGTTTCTAGTTCTGATTTTGGCCACAGGAGTCTGTCTCTCACTTGCAATGAAGAACTTTAAGGTGCAGACACAAGAATACCCCATCCTCCCTTCCTTTTTCTACTGTATGTAATGTAGCTTAAAAAGTCTCTGACAGCTTGCTATGAGCTCCACTGATGGGCCTGGAGGATGGACTCCGTTTCCTAATAATTCACTGTCTACCTGTCTGGGACTGGGACTAAAGGATGCTCAGCCTCCCAGGTAATACTTGATGTCATGAAGGTGGCTGCTGCACTCCCGCTGTACCCATGCTCTTCCACTCACTTTGAATCTCACCCATATTTCCAGTGTGCAGTGACACCTGCTGGACAGGCTGCAGGTGGAGAAGCGGTCTTCTCCATGCTCCTGTCTTTCTAAGTGAAGCCTCCTCGCTGGCCTGGTTGCTAAGATAATGTGGGACAGAGAGCCCTGAACTAGGCCTAGTGGCCTCTTCTGATCCCTGCAAAGCCAACTGTTCTCAGTGCTGGGACTCTACAGGGAAGGGAGAGCTGGTGCACTGAGACGGAGAGGCTGAGGGCAATAAGCGATCAGCATGCAGGAAGACAGAAAGCTGGACATGAAAGAAGACACCTGACTGGAGTAAACAGGCCAGTGCTGGGCTAGCATAGGGATGAGAGGCAGCAGAGCCAGGCCGCAGCTCAGTTACACCCTTTGGGCATTTAAATAAATAAACAGAACTTAACACCTGTCAGGCTATTATCCCACACTCTTACCTTACGCTTATGCTTGCAGCCAGGTCACAGCGACTCTAAGAGCTCTGGATGAGTGACTCTCTCAAAAAGCAGCTGTCTCCTAGAAGCAGAGACACTTTGGGGAGAGAGCTAGTACTTACTAATCCATCTCTTACCTGCTTATCTCACATCCTCCTGGGGAAACTTCGTTTTCATCAGAGATGCTTATGAGCCTCTCGCTGCTTTGGTGACTAGATCACCAGAAAAGTGAGAGGGCCTCCTTGAGCCCCATAGATAAACAACTTGGTTATTTATTGTATTACAGTATCATCCAGAGCTGCAACTGAAAGCTAGGCCCCGTTGTGTTGGACATTGTAAATACAAACAGTATACAGGGTCTCTGTCCACAGAAATCTCTGATCAAATGTAAGTGATGTATGAAGAGTGGTCACGATGAGGAGAGTATATAGAGTCTTGATCCACATAGGTAGGTTTGTAACTCCAGGCCCTGCATTTTAGCCACTACCTGTGTCATAACCCTAATTTCTGAGCTAACTGTAGCAGGGACTGTCTTGTGTGTACCATACCTGACACAAGAGGCTGGAGTTCCCCAAGTGCAACTGTGCTACAAGCACTGATTTGTTCTTTACATTCAGTTCTTTCCCCCATGGTGTGTTTCCTTGTAAAGCCATCAGACCCTGTGGGGTAGGGTACCCGGCATTTTTTAAAAGGCCTCAGTGACATAATGTAAAGCAGTGGGAGATAAGCAGAGGAGGAGGAAATTAATGACTTTAAGGGAAAACAGGGCTGCCTGGTCTAGTGGGCTCCAATGTAGGCTGATTTGAGTGAACAGCAGCTGTTGGCATGGGCAGTTCTGGAGTCCTGGATCTCATGTGCACAGCTTGATATTAGCATGTCCTCCTTGTGTAGTAACTTGTCTGTGT